CATCTGCAACACCAGGAAACAAAGAAAAAGGGAAATAGAAAAAAGGAGAGAAAAGATGAAAGAAAATGGAGACAATAACAGAGATGTGGGAGGGGGGGTAGAGACAGATGAGGCTCTCTAAAGACGCAGTTTTGGCAGAGTCTTGACAGTGTGTGATTGTCGTAGTCAAAGTCAAAGTTCCACCGGGGAGAGATTCAGACAATGGACTGCACCAGCTTGCCTCAGCATCACACGATCCCCTGACACACATATGCATTTTTAGAGCGATGGTTTTCATTCTAAGCTCCTCAGCCTGTTTGTCAGCCTCTAAGCCTGAATGGCGTTGGCAAGAAAGAAAGAGAGCGAGAGAGCAAGAGAGCGAGAGAGAGATGGCGGTGGGTTGGCGGGAACCACAATAAGGCAATAGAAAGACATTAAAACAAATAACTATAATTTGGTTGTTGATGATTTTTCTAACACCTGTTTGCTTAAATAAACACTGTTGATTTGCGCTTGTGCATGGGGGAGTGTCCTCAGCGATAGACATATAAGAATAATTCTGGAAAATCTTAAATGTTTTCCTGGCAAAGTTAAAGGTACCATGTCATGGCCATTTCCACTGATCATAATTCAATTGTTGAGGTATACTAGAATAGATTTATATTGTGCAATTTTCCAAACTCACATTGGTTTCTCATACAGCATCTCTGTACAGTATGTGTATTCACCGGTATTCACTCTCTGTCCTAAACAGCTTGTTGGAGCTCCGCCCCCTCCCTCTCCTTTTGTTCCCTCATTAATTTCATACAATTTATTTAATTTCATATTCTGGGACCACACACACACACACACACACACACACACACACACACACACACACACACACACACACACACACACACACCACACACACACACACACACACACACACACACACACACACACACACACACACACACACACACACACACACACACACACACACACACACACACACACACACACACACACACACACACACACACACACACACACACACACACACACACACACACACACACACACACACACACACACACACACACACACACACACACACACACACACACACACACACACACACCGCTCCAGGCAGTCCCCATCACCAAAGGAAAATGTGTTGAAAGAAACACAGCTGCAACCGTTTGTTTAATGCCTCGTCAGCAGTGTGCGTTTGACTGTCCTATTTAAAGTAGCTTGAGGAGAGAATAAGTATCTCCACTTAATAAAGATATGAACTGATATGTTCCTTTTGACCATTACACTGTTCATGTCTGTAAAGCTGTACGGTATATTATGACAGTGACTTGAATGATTTGTAATTAGAATGTATTCTTGAAGCATCCCTTCTGTTACTGTTTCACGTGGTTCCTCTTCCACAGCGGATTTGATTTATTACTGGAATGATTTTAGCTCCTACTTATTTGTGCTACCACAAAGACGTCATGCTTGTCTGACCACCGGAGAGAGATTCAAAAATGTGATCAGCTGCAGCATCCACACACGGGAAATGCATTTAGTCACAAAAAAACCACTCAGACACATACACCCGCTCGCTTTCACGGAAGGTTCACACACACACACACACACACACACACACACACACACACACACACACACACACACACACACACACACACACACACACACACACACACACACACACACACACACACACACACACACACACACACACACACACACACACACACACACACACACACACACACACACACACACACACACACACACACACACACACACACACCACACACACACACACACACACACACACACACACACACACACACACACACACACACACATTAATAATGTCTCCCATTTCCATTACTTTGCATCTGAGATTCTACAAAATTATAATATAATATGAAATCTTCCGAGGTTCACATTTTCCACAGGATGATGGAGACTTTCCATTACCATAACATTACCATAACCGTAATAGTTTCATGTGTGTGACTGTGGTTTCTTGGGGTGTGGAGGGAAAGACCATTGCTGGAAGTGAAAACAATTTTATTTCCGAGAAGTCATTGTCTTTAAAGTCCTCACTTGCCAGGCCCCCGCCCCTCTCTCACCAAAGTCCATGCAGCTGGCTGACGTCTCAGCGCAGGGTTATTGGAAGTATGTCAGTTATAAAAAATACATTAGAGCTAAAGGAAAGTGGGTTGGAAAGAACTGTCACGCCTGCCAGGCACACACTCTCTTTAACAGCTCTCTGGGCTTTGTGGCATAGTAAAACAGGAGACACGTTGACAAGCAACAGGTACAGGGAGTAGGCTCGAGGAAAAAAAGGCCCAGAAAGGCTTTACCGGGTATTCAACAGGCATACTGCTGGGGACAACTCAAAAACTAAAAAGGTTGGAAAATATGGTGAGATTTACAGAGGAAAAATAGTCAGCTTTCACTTCGACGTTCAGGTATCACTGCAATCTAAAATGTAGGTTGCCCTGTAAAAGACTTCAGTCAATAGAAGAGAGTCACAGGACGGGGTAAACCTTTTTTTTTTTTTTTTTAAAGGATGGAGTAGTTTCTAGAAAGACAACAACAAGATGTACCCTACAATTCAGCACAATAAAAGAGAGCACATTTTATAACATAAAGTCACGTAGCTTACCTTGGCTTGTATTCCTCTAATATACACTATCAAAAGCTGCAGTATTAACTGAACAAGATGGAAAACTGTAACATGCAGAGATGGGACCAAGTCTTGCACTTAAGTCTAAAGGAAAGTCCCAAGACCTATATGTTGACTCAGCATACTGCATTTGTTCTTACTTCATGGTTCTCTCCTGCAACTTTATCGGATGCTGACAGATTGTTTCAAAAAAGTGGTTTTGGGAACGTTTGTGTTGACTTACTGGGAATTGTTTGTGTTAGAGTGAGTATTTTCAGGAAAAAGAGGGAAATATAATATATATAATGTATATTTGCCCAATGCACCACTTACAAGTTATTGTGGATATGCTAGATACCTTTACTGTACTGTTTATCTCTAATAACCAGTCGTATTTCCCAAACTTTATACTTTCCATTCACTGAGTTCTGTCAATTAAGGTAAATATGCTCACAAGGAAAAGGCATAGAGGAGTCAAATGTCATGTTAAACCAATTAATAGCTACTCAAGGTCTTTCTATTTTACAGTTTTCTCACAGCTAAAAGGGCAGTGCAAATGATTAAATAGTCAATGAAACCTGACAGAACATCAACAGATTAACGTTGCTGGCAAGCAAAAGCTTTGTTTTGGAAACTACTGGCAGATACAACCAGAGTGTATGACACTATCGGTACTTGTCTTTTTTCTTTCCACAAAGCCTTACCGCTACATGTTTACTGTCAATCCCTCTGAAGTAATCCTCTTTCCCAAGACGTGCAAGAAGTTCCCCTTACTTCCTTTTTACATCACTATATCTTGTCAGGAACACATTTAACTGCTGTCCCAATGTCTGGCTCATACAGCACCATCTTTGGACTCCTGTTACACTTAAGCTCCAAAGCCAAGATGAGAAACTCAAAAGGAAAAACTAGATGTTTCTCCTATCTTTTCAGCTGTTACGAGAGGAAAGTCTTTTTTGCTTTATAGGGTGCTCAAAATATGCGGAACTCTGCATCGCATTCTGTCCGTATCTTGTATTTTATGCTCCTTAAATTGCCTTTCTTGGTTCCTTTAGAATAGTTATAGACCCAGTACATAAAAGTCAAACCACCATGTACAGCAGAACTTGGACAAAGGCTGCAGAGATTGACAACAATAAAGTTGTTTTAAAAAAAACAGACAGTAAGACAGATGTGGAGTGGAATGAGTGCTCTTACATTGAAGTACTATAGCTCCAAATGACATGGGGGATACTTCAAGGGAAAGAGAACAGTAAAAGTTTGACATCAATCTTTAAAAAGTGTGTGCAGGCTCAGGTGACCATCTGGCATTCTATGTCATTTGTTTCTTGCACCCTTAGAACAAACTTGACTACAGTGTCTTTAAGAAGTGGCCATATGTTTGCATTACTCTTCTCTCTCAAGTCCCTCCGAGGATATTATTTTCATTTGCACTTATGTCAAATTGAGGAGATATCTAACGTGAGGTATAGAGGAGCTAAAATATATAGGAGACAGAAGAGAAGGCATACACGAGGAAAAGTCAAGTGGCATGTAAATGCAACTGGAGAGGGGGAAGGAAAAAGGAGGACACATGGTAAATAGTGACTTCAAAGAGAGTGATGATGGGGGAGGCAGAGAACCAGCAGGGGCTGTTTAGATTGCTCAAAGAACAAATAAAAATATATAATTTTTTTTATTTTAGTAGCAAATCAAGTCTGATGGGCAACTCAAATGATGTGTGCTATCAAGTAGACAAAACACACATTATCTCTTATCATCTTCAGATTCTGCCTAGCACACTTAAAGAAATGTCGGCGGTGTACAATCTTACTTTCATTCTTAAACGTACCCAAGTTCAGCTTTTTTCGCCACCATTTTTATTTGCTTCTGCTTCATACTTTCCTTATCACGTTGTTGGTGTTGTCTTTTACTTTTATTGCTCTGTTACTTCCCTTTCATCTTTGGATACCGTTTTTCTTCTTTTAAAAAGTATGGAACAAATTGAAAAGTGCTTTGTGTGTTTTCAGATCATTTTTAAGTGTACATCTTTCCAGCTCATTGCATCCACATTTTCTTTGGATCCGTTTTGATCTGAATTGAAGAAGTATTGTGTGTTCTCACATAATTTTTAAACTAACTCTTTCAGCCGATTGCAACCATTTTGTTTGGGTCTTTTTCCATTTCTCTTGGGTTTTTGAGGTCTGGGACTTTTCTTTCTTTTGCTCTTTTCCATCCATATTATGCCGACTTTAAATTACGTTTTTCCCAATTGCGTTTTATGCACCAATTTGAATAAATTGAGTGTGTCTCGGTGTCTCTATCACATTGATTATGAGCAGGTGTAGTTGCTTTGTATTTGCCTTACCTTCAGTATATCCAACCAGGGATCCGACGTTGCTCTCGTCTGCCACTGAAAAAAAAAGAAACACATGTTAATACTTCTACATTTTTTATATATTTTCCCCAGCTTGTCGAGAGGTGAATCTGCTGTCCACATATCCATAAAACCTTTAAACTTAAGAGCATTACTCCTCCTCAGCATGTCCTTCTCTCTCCATCATTCTCTATCAATACTTCTGTCTAGACTTAGCAGATAGCGGCGTAGCATCATCTTTTGCCTGTGATGTGAATCCAGCTTCACTGCTACTGAAGTCATTTCCCTTCCTCCCTTTTCTTTCACTTCATTTGTCATTCACCCTCCCTTCTTCATTCCCTCTCTTGTTGCCACGTACCCTACATCTATCCCTTTCACCTTCTGCCCTTTACCCTCACTTATCTTCTCACTGTTTTCATTGTTTCTTCAGTTACACAGCAGTGTTCTCCTCCCTCCTTTGATCACCATGCTCTCCATCATCTTTATTAATCCTCCTTTCACTTTATCCTCTCCCCCAGTTTCTTTTTTTTGCTTTCCTCCCTACTTCCTAAAGCCACAACGACAGCCAATGGCAACAAGGAACACATTGACTGGTAATGATCACACACACACACACACACACACACACACACACACACACACACACACACACACACACACACACACACACACACACACACACACACACACACACACACACACACACACACACACACACACACACCATGTATACATCACTTCAGGGGACATTACATTGACTTACATGCATTTCCTGGAGACTTATCCTAACCTTAACCATAACCAACACATGCCTAACCCTAACCCTTAACCTTACCCTAATCCTAGCCAAGTCTTCACCTTAAAATTCATGATTCCCCTTATGGAGACCTCCAATTTGTCCCCATAAGGGCAGCGAGTCCCCACATGTGACTGTGTGAACAGATTTAGGTCCCCACAAGTATAGTAATGCTAGGCCACACACACACACACACACACACACACACACACACACACACACACACACACACACACACACACACACACACACACACACACACACACACACACACACACACACACACACACACACACACACACACACACACACACACCACACACCACACACACACACACACACACACACACACACACACACACACACACACACACACACACACACACACACACACACACACACACACACACACACACACACACACACACACACACACACACACACACACACACACACACACACACACACACACACACACACACCAAGAAGTAACATGGCTTCTTCCAGCAAATACTTCTCTAATGAAAACCAAGCCTTAAGTGTAATTCTAGCTGCGTGTGTGTGTCTGATGGCATCTGTCTGCGGTGAATCAACATGCCCGGTAGCTTGTGGATCTGTGTGTGTGTGTGTGTGTGTGTGTGTGTGTGTGTGTGTGTGTGTGTGTGTGTGTGTGTGTGTGTGTGTGTGTGTGTGTGTGTGTACTATACTTCAATAGAGCTGCAGATGCCACGTGTGTGACGCACACACAGACCTGTTATTAGGCTGAGCTACACACACTAAGACTGTCACTTTCTCCAAAAAAACAATGAAGTTTGAACTGACATGATCGCTAACATGTAATTTGCTACGATGTAATTAAAGAGAAAAGGGAACATATCAGTTCATATTAAATGAAACATATAGATTCATTAAAAACTGAGTTACAGAAGTGACTGTTCCTATTTGCGGCGAAAGAACCTGAATATAAACTAAAAACGTACAGGCAAGAATGGACAAATACTGGTAGAGGCAGGGAGAGAGAAAAGGAAACAAAGATGGAGGGAATAAGGACAGCAGGAAGCAGTTCATTTGGAACCAATCATAAATTAGTCATAAATGTTTAATTGGGCTAGAAATTAAATCAGGACGAATTGAATAAAAAATGAAATTATGTAACCGACCCACAAATGAAATGCTGACAATGCTTTCTGTTTCTCTTCTTTTTTTTTACACACGCATGCACATGCACACGCACACGCACACATACTGTGTAAATGTTACTACATTCTGCTGAAATGATCTCATGCAGTAATTATACAGCACTCCCTTATCGAAGGTGACATATAATAAGATTAAAGAATATGAGAATGGAAAAAAATGTAAAGCAGTTCAAAGCATATTTTAAATAATTATTCCACTTATTTGTACCTGTCCAACTTCACATTCTGAAACCCACTACAATGGCACAAGAAACAGACTATTTGACCTTGATGGGTGTATCTCTGTGTAGGTATTTAAAAAACATGTTACTCAGGAAATGCACAGGACAGGAATGTCATGTGTATACCACATGTGTCGCAGATATGATTTTAATTTGTATTGCCCTACATTACTAATGAGCCAAATCTGATTTGCATATGGTTCCATACGCAGAGGGAAGTATGCTGACAAAGAACCACTTGCTAATTGATGCTAAAGGTAGCTTACTTGATCACCTCAGTAGCAACATACCAATGGTGAATATCCTGTGGTCATTCAAGCAGTACTTGAGTTAAGTCTAAACATTGAACATAAAGAGGTCCCATAAGGGCTGCAACAAATTATTACTTTCTTATGACATTGTTCAAATATAGGATTCAAATGTTTGTCTATAATCAATAGGAAACGATCTTCATCCTGGATTCTCAAAGTCCAAAATAATGTCTTTAAATGTTTTGTTTGTCAGTCCAAAATGCAATGATTGTCCTTATAACAATAAAAGGCATACAATGTATTTATATTAGAGAGGATAGAAACAGCTTTTTCTGTAATTTTCTTTACTTTAAATATAAAAACATGTCAGATTAGCAATGTAGGGTCCCCACAGAGCACTGCATGGTTTCCAGATCGTCCGTAACAACACTATCACAATTAACAAGCTATCCTTTTAAAAAATAAACTGAGATTGCCATGTTTTGTTTCATCTAAGTTTCAATCACCCTCCTAGCTGCAGCATTCTTGTCTTGTTTGTAAAGGATCTGTTCTCCTGAACTGTATACAGTCAGAGTGCAGGCTGGGATTATAAACCAAGCAGAGGGGGATCTGATAGGTCTTTAGGATAAAGTCGAAAGGTTTATCCCCAAAGATGTAAGGTCCTCCCCTCAAAACAATAACTGGATACAAACCAAAATCTTAGCCTCAAGAAATGGTGTTTCTCGCAACGCTTCGGCAATACAACACGTCATGCCATTCAAGCAATCATGAATTCAATCCATATTTGTTTGTGACACATTTACTGACGATCAAGTGTTTAGCATACAAAGGGGATGATGTACATACCATCAGTGTGTCATTAATGTAGAAATGGATGTCTTTGCCACTTAACTTCTGCTCTTTTGTCTCATTTTCTCTCTGACACAAACACACACACACACTCGCAGCGGAACCGGCTGGAGGAGGAGGACTGATGGAAGTGACATTTGAAACAATAAGCTTTTGTTGTGGTGCACCATCCACTCCATATTACACAGATGTATGCATGAGCACAGACATAGGCACATTTCTAAAGTTGACTTTTAAACAATTACTGAAATGTCAGTGAACCCTCGCCTCGGTAATCAGAGAGCAACAGGTGACAAAGCTGACGTGGAGAGCGGAATAACAGAGGTCTTAGAATTCCTCTTTTTTTCTGTATGCATGAATAAATAACAGATAACAATGAAGCTGAATTAAAGTCCTGTGACGCAAACGGAGACATGTTTTTCTTTTCTTTTAGATAAACAAAAAAATAGTTGAAAGAGACGGAGTTGCTATATAACTGCAGTTATAGATAACAAAAAGTGTCACGGCTTGATGTTCCTACAGAAAGATCAGAGTGGTCTTCTAATGAGATCAAATCAGTCTTAATATACAAAATACTTATTTGGGATTTAAATATAAATGTCCCTATCAACTAAAATATGCATTAATGTACAAACTAATATGTTGTGTTCAATACAGTATGAATCTAAAAAAAAGGTTTCGCAAAAATATCTAAATAAATAAACTATATACGAAATACTTATTGGTTTAAATGAATGTAAAACATATGCACAAATATAAGTATTTATATATGTAACTTATTTGATAAAAACATATATTCGGATGCCATTATACTTTTGTACAAAACGTTGAACGCGGAAACCCAAAAATAAATATTCATTCTATGTGCATTTGTTTATATTGAGACTTCTCTGACCCCATGTTCTCCAGCCACTGGAGCTCAGGGGTTCACAGAGCATCACTGTGTCTCTCCATGCAACATACGTAAAGTGTTGCCCCTCGCATGTGTAGCTGTCAGTGAGTGTTTACAGTCTGCATGTGGCTTGGAGGAGCATGCCGTCCGTGCAGCAGCCATGCATCAGCAGGACTTTCTGTGAGGCTGGGATGCATGCAGCCACCATGCAGAGCAGATCAACTGAGATAAATCACCCCACCAGAGTGCTGCTGGTTCTGAGTCGTACCCAGGTCCATGCTCTTGGAGGCTTTCACGTGCTGGTACTGCTGCTGGATCTGGATCTGGTTCTGGGGGGGAGACTGGGGCTGAGCCTGGCTGGAGCTGTGAGAGTTTTCCCTGGAAACAAATAATTAGACAGTCACTACAGAAAAAGCTGTAGGTAGATGGTTGTTTATTGTGGAAATTACATTATTTACAGACTTGTTTTCTCCACCCTTAAGGCGTGTTAGTGGTGACTATCTTTTTAATTTAGAACTTAGTTGATGTTATCTTCGAAATGAATTCATTTTGTGTGACCCTCAGGCAGAAGAAATGCAAAACAGAATGCTAATCCAGCATCAGTGGTTGATGGGCTATAATATAACATTTAAAACCACAAATAACAAATGTTTGACATTTATATTTAACACAAGTGTTTTAACAATCACATTTAGTGCAAAAATAAACACACCTTGTCATTGTAATTACAAAACTAGACTCATTTTGAGTAGTCAGTATAGAAGATAGTGTTGATGAAAAGAGTCAATACATATTAACATAAACGGCTGAGACCAAAGGGGAAGACTTTAGATGACAAATGTTGTTCTAGTCAATCATTTCATTCATATGTAAAACACTCTGTTTAGCTACTTTATAAGAAAAGTCATTGACAACCACACACCTCTCGTGCAGATAGGAGTGTTGGGTGGAGCTGCTGAACTCTGTTTCATGACCGTACAGCTCTGCATCCTCGTCATCGTCCATGTAAGAATAACTCCCATTGGTCACTGAAAAGCAAAAATAACAAATGATTGCATTGAGGATGTGAGAAGTGTTGATACAATGCAGCAGAACGAAGATTTCACACAAACTACGGCTGGCTTTTCTGGAGCTAAATGCTGCCATTTGCTTCATTAGTTAAAAATACCAATACTTCCCAGACAGCAACACATATCTTTACTGTCCACTGATACGCTGCCACGGAGGGTATATAAGTTTAAGTTAGACAGTTGATTGATACAGTCTAGATTCTGTGTATAAACTGTAACATCACTGCCAAACTTAATTCAGCACAACATTTTGAAGTAGTGTGATTATTGTCCTGCAAAGCATGAATTCAGACTTTTCAAAAGCCGGAATGGTTATGAGCCATTCTGATAATTCTCTGATCAGATAACTGTAATTAAATAACAGCTACATCCTTTTATACTGGGTAGACCAGACCTGGGTATAAACCAGATTCATTCAGTGGATGAACAATGGTCAAACTAACATGACTAAAACGTGCTCCAGGTTTACACACCAAACAACACAAGCATCTGCTCTGATATCTGAGTCAAACAAACTGAGCAGAAGGACGAGATCTTTCAGGGGATATCATGACACTTTTGTCCCCCGCAACAGGTGAAAAATGGTCTCTGTTAGTGTCCAATGGAAACACCATAAATACAAGTGACCACAGCTGCCATGGTGTGTCAATCCCTCTTTGAAGCCTGCAGGATGTTGGTCATTTGATACTCAAACAAGTACGCTTTAACCAAACGCAGACGACTGTGCCGAGTTGTCTTTATAGACCTACTCCAAAATATGTTCAAAAAGTGGGTTAAACCGAAACTCATTGGAGGATTTCACTGGCAGAAAGTCTGGAGGATAAAAAAGTGTGTGAAAGACAAGATAACGATAAGACGGAGAGGAAGATGAGGAGAAATATAACGGGAGCAGAAAGCAGATGAAACGCAATATCCAGCTGCAGATGTAGAGCAGCGATACGGCTGCGTCTGCGTGATCGACGACTTCACGACAACTCCACCAGAGCACCATTTACATACAGTCATCACTTCAGCAGCGTCTCAAGATATCACATCCTCTCATCTCCACCCCCCCACTCTCTACACTAATCACCTGCTTTATTGTTCTTCTGTTTTTTGTTGTTGCAATCTGATATTCCTCCTGTCATTTATCTCTCCGTTCAGATCTGCCATCAATCATTTTATCTCCCACTCTTTCTTTCTAAACTTCCTCCTTACTGCCGGCACCTTAATCAGCCAAACTGTCATAAACACATTCTTCTTTCACCTCGCTCACAAACACACTGAGTCCCGCTCTTTGAAGTGAAGGAGGCGTTTGCTGTGTGGATAATAGATCAATAGCGGTTTGCTCCATTGGCAGGAATATGAATCTTCTTCTGCACGCAACTTTTTCTTCCTTCCTTCCGTCTGTATCTGTCTACAATGCGCTTCTCTTATTCTCCATCTTCTTCTTACTTTTCCTTTTCCACCTTGGGGGAAATAAAGGTGTCAACAGGATGCAAACTCATCAGGTATGAAAAAGGTGACAAGGATCCGAGCCCCCCGACCCCACGGAATATCGGCTTTAAAATGAGGAACAGAGGATTTTAGCAGTCAGAACAACTAAAGCAGCAGTTAATAATAACAGAAACGCTAAAGAGTCGCATCTAATAGAAATATACAAAAGCATTTATTAGGGCCCGAGCACAAAGTGCTAGGAACCTATTAAGAATTATTATTATTCCATATTGCAATGCTTATTTTCAGGCCTTTAGGATGCTTCAAAGGTTGTATAATTTTATAAACATATATTTTATGGTGTTTACAAGAATGTCTTCATTTTCATTAGGGCTTCAAAGCCATATCAAATAGATTCAATGTGTGAAATAGTTCTTCAGAGTCTAACATACTGACAAATGCTACGTATTTACAAAGACTGATAACTATCTAATATCAGCCCATGTTACAACCTACAGTTTGGAGCCTGATAAATGTGAGTACTGTATATCACACACACACACACACACACACACACACACACACACACACACACACACACACACACACACACACACACACACACACACACACACACACACACACACACACACACACACACACACACACACACACACACACACACACACACACACACACACACACACACACACACACACACACACACACACACACACACACACACACACACACACACACACACACACACACACACACACACACACACACACACACACACACACACACACACACACACACACACACACACACACACACACACACACACACACACACACACACACACACACACACACACACACACAGCGATGTGAAGCAAGAACAAAAATAACTCGTTCTAATGCGCCGGAGCAAGCAATAACTAACAAACAGAACAACCTTGAGAAAAGATGAGAGAAATAAAAGCATGGAGGGAAATGAACGGGAGAATAGGGGCTAGCATATCTCTAATTAAGGCTGCAGTGTAGAAGGCAGTATCTGTTTTTTTTTGTTTGTTTTATCTTTACTTTTCATCAAACTTATTCAGCACTTTATGAACATATTGCAAATGATATGCCCAACTTTGATCCTGCTTCAATGGCAAACGATAAAAGAGAAAAACGCAATAACAGGGGAAGATTAAATCAGGGAAGGAACAGGGTCAGAATAAAAGCTCTTGAGATTCGGTTTTAAATGTAAGTGTGTCTGTAAAGCTATTCAATGTAAAGTGCTCGTCTGTTGAGGGTGTGAGAAAGAAAATAAATCAGAAATAAACAATTAGTAGTGAATGTTGGCCATCTCTACCAAATGGAAACAGCCTTAAAAGAGAGAGGTAATCGTTGTTAAGTGCAAACCATCTAAATAAGGGTTGTGTATGTGGAAGCATTTCTCCAAAAGTCAGTCACTGAAGCTCAAATCAATACTTGAAAACGGACCATTTTCAAGAAAATACCGCTGAGTGTGGACTAACACAGTTACAGTAATAACTCTTAATAAACAAAGAAGTAGAATTAACACCCTGGGTTGTATCCTCCACCAATCAGTGGGGTTGCGATGTTATCCATGTCAGTCCACAATGGCAGCAATGTATTGTTTTATCCTGTTAGACAATGGTGTGACTGGCTTAGTTAGGGTATCAATTATTCAGTACTACAGTTATACAAATATATTTCAAAAGTATAAAAAATGGAAGCACATATTTTAATATCTTCGCCGTATTTTATCATTTTACAAAACGGAAAATACTGGAAACTGTAGATCCTGCTCAACAGGATGTATTTACCAGGGTGAGGTAATCAGGTAAACGGAGTGATACGAAGCAAGACGAAAAGAGACGAAGAGGGACGGCGGGAACCGAAGAGAGACGGCGGGAAATGGAGAGAGACGAAG